GGGAGGCTGAGGCAGGAGGATCGCTTGAGCCCAGGAGTTTGAGGTTGCTGTGAGCTAGGCTGACGCCACGGCACTCTAGCCAGGGCAACAGAGCAAGACTCTGTCTCAAAAAAAAAAAAAAGTTAAAGTAAAAATCCACAACTACAGCCACCACCTTGGCTGGAAAACCCTACCTTTCCCACAAGCAGCTTTAGGGCTCTTAATAGTAGATACGGTAAAGGCCTAGTCATTTGAAGTAATATCTCAGTTCATAAAATATCCACACCGTGAAGATTTTCTAAAGAAATGAAGTTTCATTACTTCAAGTCCTTCCTAATCATAGGAGGATATGATGATTCTTTATTCCTCCAAGCCAGGACAGCAGAGCTCATTCAGAATGCTCCCAGCAGCAGCAATAACTTTAACAAAAAGACTCCAGAGTGGCCAAGTGAAGGGTCTGGCTGGGTGAGAAGTTGCATCTCCCCGTCCCTCCAGGCAGACGACCAGGCTGGCGCCGAGGGGCTCGGGGACAGGCACTGTCTGCTGAGCCTGGCCAATAGCACACTGGCTGTCTAAAATTGGTTTTGGCCAATTAAAGGATCCTTGAGGGAAAGGAAAAATAAAAGGCTCAGTAAATGCAATTGAGCAGTCCCAGCTTGCTCCTGCTTATCGTTATTGCTCTTGCTAAGTGCCTCCAAGTGAGCCATGTATGAAACGAACCCACACCCAGAGAGGGAGTGCAGCAGAGGAAGGAGAAGCAGGAGGCAGAGACAGGCTGCTGACGGTGTTGTCTCTGAAAACCACTCTGGCTTCTGCGTGACAGGAAAGGTTTAGAAAAACAAAATGGCCCAACATCGCCACTACTGCCCCTCTTTCCTCTGTCCCGAGGGTGGCCAAGGCCAGCAGTCTGGCTAAACCCTCTGAGACAGTGGCATCTCCTAGGCCACACTAACCTGCCTGTGTTCCTGCCCACTCCCTGGGTCTCACTTTCCAAACAGAAAGCTCAACATCAGCCACCTCAGAAAGAGGGATACTGGGTCCTTCTCTGGAGAGGCATGGTTTGGTTTCCCTGTCTCCTGCTCAGCTCAGATCCGAGCCGCGGTCAAGGCATGTGGCCAGAGAGGCTGCGGCAGTCCCTGTCCTTGGCGTGGGCTCTCCCTCCTGCCCATTTAGAGAGGGCGATGCCACAGAACCACAGCTGCCACTCCTGGCAGCCACTCAGCTGCTAGAGCAGATGAGCGTGGCTGTGGGTAAGAGAGGTCCAGGTTAAGGAGGCTTTCCCACTCTTTATGCGGCACCTTCAATATCACAACTCTTACCTCATCTATTAAAGGATGACTTTCGGCTAAGGGATTAAAAGGTATGAACAAAAAAAGTGCCGGTCCTTTCTTCAGTTCGTTATTCATCAGGAGACTCTTGCCTCCATGTGGCCGCAGCCATCGAAAGAGCATCTCCCGGTTTTCTAAGGCCCACTTGTAGATGTTCTCAGCCGTGTAGTTTATGATCTCCCTGGGAAAGACCTGTGAAGGACAAATACATAGAAGATAAAGAAAGCTGAGAGAGGCAGGGCAGGTTCAAGGCGCATCAGCACTGCCCTCCAGAGGCCCGGCTGGCCCCACGCCTGCACAGCGGAGAACAATGAGGCTGAGAGCCCAGGCCTGCCCCACCTGTGCAGCTACTGCCCAGGCCCCCAGGTCTCCAGACAGAGCATTTCCTCACAAGTGGCTGAAGAACCAAGAGTGGCTGCAGGAGGTGACTTTCACATCATGTGATTCATCTTTTTGCCTTTAGACAGACTCACCTATCAAAAGATAATTCTCCCAGCCTGTTGGTGGCAATAATCACCTCTATCACCCTGTCCGAGGAGAGCTATTAAATGTTATTGGGTATTTAAAAAAGGACCAAGGCATATCTAAAGGAACAGAAATTATGGAGTCAAGGATCATTTAGATTTCTACCTTGGTCCCTTGAACGCTGCCTCACCAGGGTGGGAACAGAGCCTCTGTGAGGCAATGTCTGCTTTGTTTGCTATGTCCCCAGTGATGGGATGAACACCTGGCACAGCAGGGATTCAACACATATTTCAATGAATCAACAAATGACCTAAACTTGTCCAAAGCCACAGATCATACTTCATGTATATGGATGAAGAAAAGAGATTTTTTTTGCTTTGTTTTTCTATAACAACTAATGTATATAAACATAAAATTATTTTAGAAATTCCAATGACATAAATCATTGGTTTCAAACAACTTCCAAAAAGGTGCTTCAGAAGGTTTCACAAAATGAGATGTTTTACATCCTCCAAAATGGATTTAAATTGCCTCATAATGAAGATGTCCACTGCTTGTATTTTTTTTAGATATCGGTAACCCAATAATATTTGATTTGATAAAAAGAATTCTACTGCTAAACAAACCAACCAACCTTAAAAACTATCAAATCACAGTGGTAAATCTGATATATTTTTCAGTGTCATCTCATAGTCCTACCTTTTTTTTCTCCATCTAATTTTAATTTCTTCCTCAGTACCCTTTACTATAAATAAATATGATATATATGTAGGCTGTATAACACGCTAAAAATGGATGTAGGAAAACGACAGATAGCAGATGATGTCAAAAGCAGCTGAGAGGCACAAGGAGCACGGGTGGGCAGCAGAGAAACAATCGCAGTGGTGATTCTCAAAGTGGGACGATGGGAGTTTGAAAAACATACTCAAACATCATAATAAACATTGCTATTTGGAAAACACAAAAATACATTTGGCTTTTGCAATGTAAGTGGCAAGAAGTAAAGCACAACATCTGGGCTACTGGAGATATGCAGAAGCCAGGGTGACTAAGCAAGCAAGGGGGCAGCCCTAGAGTGGGCCTGACAGCACCTCTGAGGGCACAGAACTTATAGCTGGTACCAACAGGAGCAAGGTTTAAAATGCTGGGTACACTGGGTACAGGGAAACTGATCTGCATATGACCTGTAAGTCACTGACACTGTCAATGATGTTGGAGAGACAGAGGATACTTAAGAAAAATAAACTCTCAGTGATGTGAGTGAAGAACAGCAATGACTAGAGGGAAGCACAGGACTACGCAGGACACAGGTCAAAGCTCACAAATAGGTGAGGTGAGATTATTCCACCAAAAAGCAAATGGAAAACTGTGGGGTTGAGAAGCCATCAACTTCTCACTGTGACTTGACAAGAACTTCAAAAATCCATTACATCAGCTAAGGAGAAAAGCATGTCACATCATTATTCTTCCTAAAAGGAACAAATGAACAGAGAACATCGCCCAATGGAAGCTTAACCCCTGAGAACATGGCCCCAGAGGAACAATTCTCCAACAGAGTAACTCTGCAATTTCACCCAAGAAGGAAAACTAACGAGGCTGTACCAAAACCTACGAATATAAACAAAGAATTTCTAGATGTTAAACTCAGGAGCCCTCTAATGCACGGGTTCATACCCGGGGACATAGGCTCTAGAGTGGGGTTGTAGGAACTCTCAATTCGCATATAAAACCAAGTGCACTGTCCTGGAGAGGGTGTCTGCAGATTTTATCCAATTCTCAAAGGAGACTGTGACCTAAACAAGGTTAAGAACCACCGCACTAATATAAACGTGATTTCAAAATACTTACAAGTGATGTGTTGAAATGTCTATGTAAATACACACTTCCAGAGTGTGCTAAGGATACCAGTTTCGCAAGATGTTTATTTGTGATAACCCCAAATCGTACTGTTCCTAGGTAATCTGAAACAGAAAATTTTCCTTAATTAAAGAAAAGGCCTATGCCTTAACACAACCACAAAACCCAATGACTGAGTCTTGATGCACAAATCCCCTATAGCAAAGCCCCTTGTGGTAACCTAGGCTAGCTGGGGAAGGAAGAGGAGCTGAAGAAACCCTCCTCCTGAATCAGATCTCGGCCCTCCAAATCCAAGTCTACTCCCATGAGTAACACCTCGGAGTAACGTCTCCAATGCTCACTTGCTCTGAGGAGTGCACTGTGTCTCTCTGTGATGATCTGACCTGTCCCCCTTGCTCACAGCTCACAGGCCCACCTCAGGACCAAGCCACATGCTGTCTTCCCTGTCTGGACATGTCCCACGGCTGGCTCCTTCTCATATTTCATCTCAGCTCCCGCCTTCTCTGAGAACCTTCCCTGACCACTCACCTAAAAGCAAATACGCTGGGGATAGAGTCTATAAGGGGAGATTGGGGCTCCCTCCCCACTCAGGTACTCTCTCCGCCATTGCCTTATTTTTAATAACACTTACTAACATCTACATAATCTTATTCATTTATTTAGATTTTCTTTGGTCCAAGTTCCTCTCCAGAATGTAACTTATGTGGTATTAGAGGCCTTGTTTACTGCTGGTACCCCAGCACCTACAGCAGTGCCTGGGGTGTATAGTAAGAGATCAATAAATATTTATTAAATGAATAAATCTAGCACATACAAACAACTCATACAAATAAACAAGAAAAAAAAAAGGTTAAAAATGGGTAAACCACAGAAAAGGAAATGTACATAGCTAATATTCACAAGGAAATACACTCAACCTCACTCTTTCAGAGGAAAGCAAATTAAAACAAAATACCACTTTTTTGACCTTCAAATTGCTCAGAATTTAAGACACAGGAAATGTTGAGTATTGATGACCGGCAGAGAAATGAGTACTCTGGTACGATGCTGGGAGAAGGGGTAACGTGGCAAGCTACTTGGGGAGCAGTGTGCTGTGCTGATCGCAGTGAAAAACGGACACAGCAACTGCACCTCTGAGGTTCCACATACATGCACTGGAGTCACATGCAAGAACATTCACCAAGAAACACTCTGCAGATGTTAAAAACACTGAGGCAGGGCTATCTATACAGCACGAACAGAAGCTGAAGAAGATAAAGTACATCTTTTATGTTAATAAAAAAAAGGACTCATAAAATTATTTTTTCTATAAGCATATATGTTTAGAAGTATATAAAGAATCTTAAAGGGTAACAAAAGTAGTTTGGTGTTGAGGGACACAGATTAAAGGGGACTTTATCCTTATGTGTGAAGCTTTGATTTTTTTCCTGAAGTATATGATACTGTAATATTTCTGTGATTATGAAATATTTAGTGTTTAAAGGAGAGTAGATATGGTAGTGTAGGAAAAGGCACATTCTTTTCTACTTTTCTATCTCCTTTCTGCTTTATTAGCAGACACTAATAAAGTATCAGTTAAACTTTGTTACCAAGTTATGTACCACCATGGCCAACAAACCCGGTGAGTTTAAGAAGGCACAAAACAAACGAAAAATACAGGGTGAATAAGAGAGAAATTAAAGAGATTGGCTACCTAACAGGGTAGGTGGGAAAGGGGAGCAGGGGAGCAGGAGAGCAGGCCGAGGAGGCCTGGCACTCTCTGAGTTGACTTTTTTGTAACTCTTACAGCCATAGTAATGTTGCATACACGCTTCACATACTCCAGAACTAAACAAATAACTACAAGAGAATCAAGCAGGACACGGGGAACCCATTGTGGAATACAAACACTAACAAATGAACCCTGTCTGGATGCGGCGGCTCACACCTATAATCCCAGCACTCTGGGAGGCCAAGGTGGGAGGATCCCTTGAGGCTGTGCATTCAAAACCACCCAGGGCAACACAGCAAGACCCTGTCTCCACACACAAAAAAAGTAGTAGTGTGCACCTGTAGTCCCAGCTACTCGGGAGGCTAAGGTGGGAGTCTGAGGTTGCAGTGAGCTATGATGATGCCACTGCACCTCAGTCTGGGTGACAGAGCAAGATCTTGTCTCAAAAAAGAAACCCTAACTACTATAAATGAGTAACACCATAGTGAAAGGAGTGGGAAGAAAAAACTAACCTAAGTAACCAAAAAATAGTATCTTGACTGGATGCTGTAAAACTAAAGGCAAAAATAATTACATATAAATGCTGTACATCTGGTGAGTAAATGTGCTCTTCAAAGGGGTACGAGGTGGCAATCCTGAAACTACTAATATGAGCCAGGATTCTCACCGTTGGAGTGAGAAGTTATATATTAAGAAGAGAAGGCTAAAATAATCCCTGTTGTGTAGATTGGAATCAGAGAGAATTAGTACAAACTTAGGGCTTTTAATACACACACACACACACACACACACACACACACAGATGACACAGAGATACAGATGTATGCACACGCTTGGGTATAAATACATTTCCTTGTTTTATCTGCTGAAAAGAGCTAGTAGTAATGAGATCCTGATACCAAACAGCATAGTCAGCACCCAGATCTTGGTTTCTAAACGCCATTCTCCAGTAAAAGAAACCAGGGTTCTCAGAGAAAAGGGTGAATCCAGATGTGGGGAAAGGAAAGTACAAGATAGGCATGAAATATCTCGGTGCATCAGAAGTAACAAAGTGCTCATAAAAGGATGGGAGCTTGCCCAAAGGACACAGAAACCAACCCAAGGTGCTCCTAATAGCCAAACAGACAAACTCATTTGCCTATCCAGAGCATTCTCTGTTAAGCAGGGATCCAGGGCTTTCTACAATGAGTCTTTGTCATTTATAAAATGAATTCTTTTATCCTAAAAGTAATGAAGTTTCAATATTTTAATTAAGAACTTTAAATCTGAACAATTTGAGCAACAAAGTAATGATAGTACATAGAATAAAATAAATACCCATGACTCCATAGTGATATTAATAAGTGAGGAGAGTCAGCTCTTCCTTAGAGGAGAATTCCATTAATAATGAAGAAAGAATGAGGGAAATAGAAAACTACTAATATTTGAACACCAGAGTAACTGTTGCAGCCAAGATCCACTGATGGTTGCTAAAATTAGTGGGCAAAAGAAATAGTTGCATAGTCTCAAAGTATCTTCCCCCAAGGAATTTATTAATTACAAAGGAAAGGATCGTAACTTCTCAGCAGACAGTCCCAGGAAACACTAACAGTAGTCAAGTGATCAAGGTTAACATCACTAATGGGAGACACAGCGACATCATATGAACCCCCTGATAAGAAACACTGAGAATATATTTCTGTGGTATTCTTGCCAAAAATGCGTGATCTCATTCCAATCACAAGAAAACAAACTGGCTGGGAATGGTGGCTCATGCCTTTAAACCTAACACTTTGGGAGGCAGAGGCAGGAGGATCACTTGAGGCCAGGAGTTCGAGACCAGCCTTAGCAACATACTCAGACTACAAAAATTTTTAAAAATTAAAAATTAGCCGTGCGTGGTGGTACACCTGTAGTCCCAGCTACGTGGGAGGATCACCTGGGCCATGTGTTCGAGGCTGCAGCAAGTTATGATTGTACCACGACACTCCAGCCTAGGTAACAAAGTGAAACCCTGTCTCTAAAAAAAGAAAAGAAAAAAAAAAAACCAGACAAACTAAAACTGAAGGACTTTCTACAAAACACCTGAGTGGTATTCTTCAAAGTGTAGTGGTCATGAAGGACAAAGAAAGAGGAACTGTTATAGGCTGGAGACAAAGGAGAAAAAACTAAATGAGATGTGGGATCTGAGATTGGATCCTGGAACAAAAACAGACACTAGTAGAAACACTGGAACAATTCCAGTAAGGTCTGCAGTTTAGTTAATAGGACCGCACCAACGTTAATTTCTTAGTTTTGACAAAACCACCACAACAAATGATTATGTAAGATGTTAACAATGGAGGAAGCTGGGGGAAGGCAGGTAACTAGGGAACTTTCTGTTCTATTTTTACAACTTTTCTGTAAGAATAAAATTAAGATTTTTAAAATTTTGTTTAAATGGCATAACATTTAAGTTCAGATCCCAAAGCTGTCAGAAGAAAAAGCATGACCTAAAAGAGGATATGAACTGGTAGGACCTAAACACCACTCCCCAGAAGGAGACACTGAATCTTGGTGGACAGCCACAGTGAAAAAGTGACTAAGAGAAGGAAAAGCAGCCGGTAAGGAAATTCATTTGATAGTCTGCCAAAGCCTCCACCATGATTTATTACAGCAGAGAAATAAGAAGTGACAGCCTGACCCAAAAGTTAAAAGAAGCCACTCAAAAACCTGTTTAACTACATTAATAAGAATGGACAGTCTGCCTGCACACCACAGATTCTAACATGCTCAAACATATTACAATTTCAAAACTTCATTTTTCACACATGGAGAAATTTATAAAAATCATACTTCCATTTAAATTCCAGCATATGGTGGAAATCTTGCTGGAGGAAGCAGCTTAAATCTGCAATCTCATGTGAACAAAGTGTACTTGATTAACAGAGGAAGTTTATAGGGTAAGGATGACACAAGAAAACAGCACTTCTCATCTTCCCTATCCAGAGCATTCTGTTTAAGCCAGGCTCCAGGGCTTTTACAATAAGAGTCTTTGTCATTTATAAAATGAATTCTTTTATCCTAAAAGTAATGAAGTTTCAATATTTTAATTAAAAACTTTGAATCTGAACAATTAAAAATAAACTGAGATTCATATTCTCCTTTCCCCCACCAAAAAAGGTACAATAGCAGGATCTCATTCAATTAATTTTAAAAAAATTATCAATATACTCCATTAGCCTGGTAATTGACCAGTTTAAGTCTCTATTAACCATATGGTGACAATTTGTGTCAAAGATCACTACAAGATGTAATGAGACCTTGAGGGAACTCCTGGGTAAAGGAATTAGTTACGAAGCACTTTCTGATCATGCAGGTGGCTCAGCAGGTCAAGGCCACCACAGCACAACTCCTGTGGCCACTCACTCCTCA